GTCCCTGGTCTAGTCAAACATCTTTTTCCCCCACAGTGCCCAACTAGATTCCTGCTCCTATTCCTTGGTAAGAACAAAGTCCAAAGTATTTCTCTTTCTTCTGAGCACAAGTGCCTTCAATTCGTTTCTGAAATATGGTAACTCTAAGGTGAACCTATCATTTTCTTGGCAAAATTTGTTCAGAGAAGGTTTGCCTTTGGCTTCTCTGAGGCTGACAGAATGTGACTTGTCCAAAGTCACATTAGGCTTCCATGGGCAAAGAGAGATTCAGACCCTGGTCTCTAGAGATGTAGTCCAAAACTACATCACACTGGCACTCAAAGCTAAATTTACTCCCTGACATTGTTCTAACAAACCAATTCCCATTTGTCCACGGCCTCTTAAAATAGATCAAAAATGAATGATACGCCAATTGGAGGCCCTTGTCAATGAGGACTACCTTAACCTTTACCTTATAGATTATAGCAAAGCCATTGATTGTGTAAATCATGAAAAACTATGGATTGCTCTTAAAGAAATGGATGTGTCACAACATTTGATTATCCTGATGTAGACCTATACTCAGGCCAAGAGGCTACCATCAGGATCGGATAAAGAGAAACAGAATGGTTTCCAATAGGCAAGGGGGGTCAGGCAAGGCTGCATTTTGCCACGTGATCTGTTTAAATTGTATGCTGAAAATATCATAAATAAAGCAGTATTTGAGTCAGTGGAAGGAGGTGTGAAAACTGGAAGAAGGAACATGAACAATGTCTATATATAAGTGTATTATGCAAATTGCTGCAAATTTTCGCACATTTGTGTCAATGCTCAATTGCCTTCACTTTCCTGTGCAAATTTGCATCTATTAGCTATCCCTCTGCCTAAAATGCCCAGCTATACAAATCCATGTGAGGCAGATGGATGACTACACATTTGGCAAAGTACATACTTGTGGATACTCACCATAATTTCTGTGAAGTTTGGGGAGTTTTCTACACACCCCAAAAAAGCCTGAATTTGTCTGAATGATGTGTGGAGGGATTATATTCTATTCAAATAGAATGAGAAGTATTTTAATCATGTAGATAAGCCCTAAGATGCAGATGACACCATACTACTAGCAGAAAATAGCAAAGACTTGGAGAACAATTACTGAAGAAAATCAAGGAAGAATGTGCAAAGGCAGGTTTACACTTGAACATTAAGAAAACAAAATTAATTACCACAAATGATTTACATAACTTGAAAGCAAACAATGAAGACATTGAAATAGTTCAAGATCTTCCATACCTTGGAGATTTCAGGAAAGAATTCAGAAGACTAGGATTTGGAAGGGTGGCTACAAAGAAACTAGATAAGATTCTGAAATGTAAAGATATAATATAAAGTTAGAAATATCAATGCCAGTTTCCAATTTGTATGTATGGTTCTGCAATCTGTACAGTGAAGACAACTGATAAGAAGAAAATCAACTCATTTGAAATGTGGTACTGGAGAAGAGTGCTGACAATTCTGTGGATGGCCAAAAAGACAAACAAATGGTTCTAGAATAGATCAAGCCCGAACTCTCCCTAAAGGCCAAGATATGTGCTGTGGATATATCATGAGATGACAAGGCTCACTAGAAAAGATAATAATGAGAGCCATCATGGCATAGTGGTTTGAGCAACAAACTACAACTCTGGAGACCAGGGTTCAATTCCCCAGTCAGCCATGGAAACCTGCTGGGCAAGCTTGGGTGAATCACACACTCTCAGCCCCAGAAAACTATGTAATAGGTTTGTCTTAGAGAGCCAACATGGCATAGTGGTTAGAGTGTTGGACTCGGATGCTGGAGACCAGGGTTCAATTCCCAGATCAACCATGAAACCTAGTAGGTAACCTTGGGCAAATCACAAGCTCTCAGCCTCAGGGAAGGCAATAGCAAACTGTTTCTGAACAAGTCTAGCCCATGATAGGGTCCTCTTAGGGTCACCATAAGTTGGAAATGACTTGGAAGAATACAACAACAAAAACAAGGTGGAAGACACTTATGCTCAGAAGAAAGAGAAATACTTTGAACATTTCCTGAGAAGACATGGCAAAGACAATAATAAGACAAAAGGCAGTAGGAAAAGAGAAGAATGAATTCCTCCAAGATGGATAGACTCAATCAGGGAAGTTACAGCCCTGAGTCTTTAAGACCTGAGCAGGACTGTGGATGATAGGCTGACTTGGAGGCCTCTCATTCATTGTTGTTGTTAACTGCCCTTGTGTCGATCTTGACCCATGGAGACCCTGCTAATGAGACATCTTCAAGACACCCTGTCCTCCACTGCTCTGCCCAACTCGTGCAAATTCATACTCGTGATCTTTTAATGGAGTCCATCCACCTAACATGCAGCCTTCTTCTCTTTCTTCCTTCTACCTTTCCTAGCATTATTATTTTTTCCAGTGATTCTTGCCTTCACATGATGTGCTCAAAGTACGCCAACCTAAGTTTTGTCATTTTGGCTTCTAGGGAGAGTTCTGGTTTGATCTGGTGTAGGACCCATTTGTTTGTCTTTTTGGCTGTCCATGGGATCCTCAGCACTCTTCTCCAACACTACATCTCAAATGCATTGATTTTCTTCCTATTTTCTTTCTTAACTGTCCAGCTCTCACATCCATACATGGTAATCCATACATGGTAATGGGGAATACAATGGCTTGTATCATTCTAATTTTTCTGCTGAGAATGCATTTTAGGATCTTTTCTAGTTTTTTCATAGCTGCCCTCCCCATTCTTAATCTTCTTCTGATTTCCTGGCTGCAATCCCTGTTTCTATCACTATTTGATCCCAGATATGAGAACCCTTTTACTATAGTTTTTTTTTTTTGTGGGTTTTTTCAGGCTGTGTGGCCATGTTCTAGAAGAGTTTCTTTCTGACGTTTCGCCAGCATCTGTGGCTAGCATCTTCAGAGAAAAGATGCTAGCCACAGATGCTGGTGAAACGTCAGAAAGAAACTCTTCTAGAACATGGCCACACAGCCCGAAAAAAACCCACAAAAAAAACTATGGATGCTGGCCATGAAAGCCCACAACAACCCTTTTACTATTTCTATTTCCTCATTGTCTAGTTTGAATTTGTGCAAGTTCTCTAAGGTCATTATTTTTGTTTTCTTTATGTTCAACAGTAAGCTTGCTTTTGTGCTTTCTTCTGATTCTCTCATTCGTAGGGTTCCCATAAGTTGATTTGATGGTAATTAGCAACAAAAATTTCAGACACTGGGAAGATCTCCCATTTTGTGTTATCATAATTCCCTTTCCATTATCCTTCCCTGGTGCATATCTCTTCCCACCACTTCCCACATCCACCTTTCTCCTGCAAATGACAGACCTGTTATCTACACCTGCCCAGCACATGTCTTCTGCAAACTTCTCCAGGCTTGTGATCTCCAGATATGTTGCCCGTGCCTAGTTGGGAAGGAAACCTGTAGTCTGTTGTAGTCTAACATCTGGAGAGCACTAAACTGAGGGATGCTGCTCTATACAATAGTTCTTTCTTCTTCCAAAATTGGCTTGTAGAATGTGGAAAGGTAGACAACAGGACAAAGAAATGGAAACTAATTCTTCCTTCTACTCTGTCTGGGTGGAATGGAAGCAGTGTGTCCCAATGTTCTATCCATTTAAAATTCCTTCAGAATAATAGTTCAGAGTGTTCCAAGTGTGACAAATAGTTATAATGTTGGAACTAGCTATGCAACATTATTTCTACACAAAACAAAATAACCTCCTCTACATCAAAAATTATTGCACTTGATTAGAACTAGTTATGTCATTTTTATTCAAAGGTATAGCCATGTTAGTCTGTAGAATCAGTATGTAGAGAGATCTTGTAGCACCTTTGAGACTAAGGGGGGATGCAGACCAGCACTTTAGGCCAGCTTGGGGGTGGAGTTGGGGTGGGGCGACCGCACGCCGGCTGCCCTGACTCTGCCCCAATGCCGCACACCCAACTGCATAGCACACAGTGTCAGGGTTCCCTCTTGGCACAGCATGCATACACACTGTGCCAAAGGGGCACAAAAGAGCTGCAGTGGTGGCTCAAAGGGCAGTTTTTTGCCACCCTCAAAAAGGAGCAGCATTTGCCCACTCTTTTGGGGGCAGAAAAAAGGAGGATCGGGGCCACGGCGTGTGGTTGCTGCAGCCCCAATCCACCACTTCCAGGGGCAGCACAGAGCTACCCCTTACAGGCCATGTGCATCAACACTAACTGAAGGAAAGAAATTGGCAGCATGCACTTTCATAGACTTCAGTCTACTTCCTCAAATGCATCTGAGGAAGTAGACTGAAGTATACGAAAGCTCATGCTGCCAATTTCTTTCTTTCAGTTAGTCTCAAAGATGCTACAAGATCTAAGTACTAATGTCATTTATGTTCATGACTCATTTTTGTGACTCTGAAACATAAATATACAATGTATTAAATCATGAAATTACAATATTGTGACAAAGTGAATTGTTAGCATTGAAAGCCTAATCTTGCACTTGTATAATGGAACACTTTATTAAATTACTTTAGCTACAATCTAATATTAGAAAACATTCTATGCAAAAAAAGTTTGCTCAAGTCTTATATTGAACAGTTTCATAAAATAAAATATTACCCATAATACTCTGTTTCAGGAAATAATTACTAGACTTGCAGAAGTAACTTGGGTGTATATGAGGGTAATCTTCAGGCCAAAATAGCAATAATACACTATTATTTATCTAGCAAAGTAGCATCCTGTCTTTCCTCTAAGGAATTTGGGGCAACATATATACTGTTATTTCATTTTATCTTCATAACATCCATCATGCCTTTCAGCAGCTGATGAAAGGCCTTCTATTCATCCATCCCAACTGCCACTGCAAGGCAAACCCCTTCTGAACATATCTTGCTAAGAAAACCCCATGATAAGTACATCTTAGGGTCACCATAAGTAAGAAACAATTTGAAAGTACACAAAAGCAACAAGGAGGAGGAGGAGATTGGTAATGCTTACCACAGCAAACAAACTTGTCCAGACATTTGTCCTTAATAGGGTTCACCTTGATGTATGATTACTAGATCCAGGGATGATCTGGAGAATAAAAAGGCAAGGTGAGTGACAGGAGCCCAAGAATTGGAACTGCCAGATTGAAAAGGGGTTCCATCACAGAACCCACCCCCCAAAATAAAACAAGCAACCCTAATTCATCACTAGCATGACCTCAACGATCTGAGGCAGTTCTGATGGACAAAGCTTACAGTTTTTGCACATTCAAATATGTTATTTCCATTCTGAAGCTGAAGAAGCTTGCAAATGCTGGTAATTTGTCATCACAAATAAACTGAAACAATTTTTTTGGGTCATCCCTACTGATCTCCCTGGAACAAGTCCAACCTCACATCTACCAGACTGTCCCAGCCATATGCTTAACATCTTAAAAAATGCATGCAGAGCCCCTATGGAGTTCCTTCAGTCTCCTTTACAAAATAAAAAATAAAATGCATTGCCTACTAAGCTGCATGTAATTTGCTTTCCCAGTCTTGCTACTCATTATGGAAAATAATGCACATGGTTCTCAGTGAGCTCTTTGCCACCATAGAAATAAAAATGCCCTTAAGCAGCAGAAGCAAAATCTTAGGAGTGGGAATACTAGCAACTCTAGCAAACGTAGCAAAAACACAAAATCAGACTTCATGTTTGTTACTAAATGTTCTGCCCTTACAATAATCCATGAACAAAAAGAAATCACATATGATTGTTAAATTCACCTAACTGCAAGCAAAAAGAATGCATGGTTTAATTTTTAAAAATCACTGAGGGTCATGATGACAGAGTGTCACCAATGCCTGCTTACCATCAAGCTAATATTTGAAGATGAAATGGAACAGCCAGCATCCAAGGAACCCTTGCATTTCATCAGCCTTCATCAAAAAGACGCGATCTAGGTTTTGGGGTCCAATCCTAAAAGTAGCTCTTCTGCTGATGTCAGAGCTGAGTTGTGAGCCTCAGTTGTGATGGATTTCTCTCTTAGCATTTGATGCTTACTTTCCCTTAATAAAACACATAAAATGCTGCCACTTGGCATTGATATGGTCTTAGCATAAGTAGCTCTGGCTTACAGCTGAGTTGAACACTACCAAAACAGCTAGTCCTTCAGGATAGTTTTCAAAACTTTTCCTCCCCACTCTTCCCTGTAGAAAAAAGGAACACCTATGGAAAGTTCCTACCCATATCCTGCACCATGCTTGATGCACTGATATTTGTTACTTACAATGCCCCAGATTGACATTGTCCCTGGCATTATGAAAAGCAATCAGAATGGTGGCCAAGTTGCTGACACAGTTGATAGTGGTGTTATTTACAGCTGCTGCTACCACCAACCTTCTCCTCCACCCCCCCCCCCCCCCCCCAAAACATTAGCAGAGAAGAAGCTATGCTGCAATCACTGCTAATGAGAAAACCCACCCCAAGAAAATACTGGAGAATTCCTTCTCTCCTTCAGAGAAATTCAATGAAATAATTCCTGAAATTTCTCTGATCACTGCAATATTGAGGTGGGGAATGCTGTACTCAATAAAATTCTGTGCCTTTAAAACATGAACCACCCCACCATCCAATTTGTGATAGCCATGTTTTGGAAACTTACCTTTTTAAAGTAATTTATGGTGTTATGTATTACAAAATTCCCTAAAGTAACTTATTCACTATTGTTGCCCAATGATTGTAGTAGTTTGTTACATGGACGTCCACTATGCTTTTATTCTTTTCAGGGGTAAAATAAAAAGTAAGAAAATGATCTATGATTTGAAAAATCCCCCTTGTAGCCTGCAAAGTAATGAGACAAAGGGATGGATAAGCATTATTTATT